GTCGCCGGTTTAGAATTCCGAAGTCCAGGGTTTTGTGACGGTTGAGGTTTAGGATTTAGGGTTTAGGGGTTTAGGGGTTCAGGGTTTAGGGTTTAAGGTTTAGGGTTTAGGGGGTTAGGGTTTAGGGCTTAGAGTCCAGGGTTTGGTGAAAATCTGGTTTATGGCTTTTGCTTTGAAGCTTCGGGGACCTGCCTCTAGTCTCCATTGTAGTTCCTTCTTGAGGCCACCCACCTCAGATCTTTAATATGAAACTGGTTACCCACCACAAACAGGAACTACAATGGAGACTATAACCTTAAACCCTAAACCCTATAGGTAATAACCCTAAACCCTAAACTCTAGGTAGTAACCTTGAACCCTAGGTAATAACCCTAAACCCTAAACCCTGGGCAGTAACCCTAAACCCTAAACCCTAGGGATGCGTGATGTATCTTCTGATCTCGTCTTCCTCAGAGGGTGCCTCGGGGCTTCCAAGGTCAGGGTTTAAAGGCTTAGGGTTCAGGGTTTAGGGTTTAGGGTTAGAGTTTAAAGTTTAGGGTTCAGGTTTAGGGTTTAGGCTTACAGTTTAAAGTTTAGGGTTCAGGGTTTAGGGTTAGAGTTTAAAATTTAGGGTTCAGGATTTAGGGTTTAGGCTTAGAGTTTAAAGTTTAGGGTTCAGGGTTAGAGTTTAAAGTTTACGGTTCAGGGTTTAGGGTTTAGAGTTTAGGGTTTAAAGTTTAGGCTTCAGGGTTCTCCGTTGGACGCTTCAGGCGTGGAATATGGTGTATACCTGTCTGAACTCTTGTAGGGCTCTTGTTAAGGGATCTAAATTGAAGCTGCCATGTTCAAGAAGCCCTATCTTCTATTTTCAGTCTCTACAATAGTAACTTACCTTGAACCGTAAACCCTTAGACCCTCAAACCCAGTTTAGGGCGTCGAGGATGGTGTAAACTTCCCTAAGGGTCCATGTATTCATATAGCATATACATGGGCCCTAAAGTACCTATATAGGGACTATATTAAGGCCAATGTATATACTATTTGGGCACATGGACCCTTAGGGCTTGTAGCCACAGGACGCCGAAGCAGTAGAAAACGATCATGAGGAGCACCAAGGTCCTGAGAGTCCAAGGCTGAACAGAAGACTAGATGCAGGGGTTTAGGGCTTCGGGCTTCTAAGGTTTAGGGTGTTTAGGGTTTAGGGTTTAGGGTGTATGCTAAATCCGGCTTCCAACTTTTGGAGGTTTCTATAAGATGCAGAGCCCTGAAGCTACAAAGACCCCTCCGAAAGGATCCCAAGGAACCCAATAACTGGGTACTCGGGTTTAGGATAGTCGTTGTGCAAGTTGCTGTTTTGGACAGCATAAATAATGGCATCACACATGAAAGACAATTACCTTACCCGCTTTTGTTTTTGGGTGGAGGGGGGGTCTAGGTGGTAGGCAAGCTTGCTCGAAAGGGCTGAGAGCTATGTTTTGCAATCATTGCCCCTTCCCCTAAACCCTAAACACCCTAAACGCCAAAAAAACCTAAAACCCAGGGTCTAGTAGCTGTAAAGGGCTGAAGGCTTTGCTTTGGAAGTCTTGGAATTCTTGAGGCCGACGATGGGAGCTGACAAGCCGTCGGAGCGAGAAGATCACATCTCTTTCGGCAAACTGCATGCACATCTCCCTGAGGCTCTTCGAACAGTAGTTGGAGTTATAAGCAAATAAAAGTGTACAGCTACCATATGTATAACCCTAGTTACTAAGTCCCATGATCCTTGCAGTATAGATGCATACATACATACATACATGCATACATACATACATACATACACATCATACATGCATGTGAGGGTTCGGTATTTCGGACCGAAGGACAAATTGGATCTGATGCTCGTACCTTGGAGTATCGTCTTGGAGTTTTGTTCAACCTTCCTGTTTGTTTTCCCGGCGCAAAGTACAACAACATAGTTCATGAGACAGTCTACAAAACAGCCGGGTGGCTCGGACTGGTCGTCCAAAATTCATTGTCCTCCCTACAAACCCTGCCTGCCCTCTTCACCCTCCAAAACATCAGCAACCATCCAAAACCCTCCCTAAACCCTAAACCCTCAACCCCAAACCCTAAACACTAAACTCTAAACCCCCAATCTGAGAACCCCCAAACTTTTCTCTGCCCAAAACCGTCCTAAAACCCAGAACCGCCACTCCCCAACAGGAAACCCCAAGACGACGCGCAGCGAAGAGTCCACGCCAGGGACCCCAGGGTGGAGCTGATTGAGAAGAGGATGGCCTGGTACTGGAGGCCGAAACCCTATAAATTTGGAGCCCCTGTTTGGGGTTTAGGGGGTTTAGGGTTTAGGCTTTAGGGTTTTGCCCCTGAACCATAAAGACAACACCCGAAACCCGAAACCCAGAAACCTATACCCCCAAGGCCCTAAACCCTGATTGAGTAGAGAGTGGCCCGGGGCTTCAGGTTTGGAAAGCAGTGTTTACGATGTACTGAGAGCCTAGGTTTTGAAAGGGCTTACGGATTGCCATAGCCCAGTAAAGAGTCACCTCACATCACGGCCTAAACCTCTGCGGACCAATTCTTGCCCTATTCTTGCCCTAGGTTCCTGAGTGACTCCTTAATAATAAGGGTCACCTCTTTCCAGTTATACCGCTCTAATAATGGAACCATACACTAAAAAGGGCCAAAGGGTTCAGGGTCTGGGGCTTAAGGAACCTAGTGCCCTCTCCCCTACAAGCAAAACTGAGCCCTCAGAGATCTCACACGCACACCTCAACCCAAACCCTAAGCCCCACACCCTCTTTGAGAGAAAGATATGTATGTATACATATAGACAATAGATGCATATACAAAATATACACACAGATATATATATATATATGTCTATTTTGTGTGCATATATAGATATATACATATGGATATAGCTATAGATATAGATATGGGATTGTTTATACTATAAAAAACAGTAGGTACACACACACACACACGCGCGCACACACACACACACAGCACCTAACCAGGTGCTGCCGAGGGACGCGAAGCGACGAGATGAACCTCTTGAGGTTTCAGGCTTTTGATTTGTTTTTTCGACTTTGGCCTTGGGAGAAGTCTCTTTAGGGCTTTGGGCTTATAGGGTTTAGTGTCTGTGGCTTCGGGGTTTGGGCTTATCGTTGTAGGATTTCGGGCTTAGGGTTTAGATGGGTTTAGGGGTTTCGGGTGTAGGGCTTAGGGTTTCGCGGTTTTCGGATTCGCCCGATCATTCCGCAACGCTCCAGTGGTTTCAGAGGCTTGGGCGTTCCATTCTAGGTTTCAATTTAACCTAGGAATAACACCCCTAAACCCTCAACCCTATATTGAACCCTAAACCCTAAACCCGCGGATCCTTTGTGGCATTGAGAAGTTGTGTAAGGAACCTGAGACCACAAAAAGGAAAACAAGGCCCTATAACACCCAAATCTTCCACTGTCCCTTAACTAAGGAAGGAATATACCTTCAATCATATGAGGGATCCTACTATAATTTAAGGTATGTTCCTTAACTAAGGGATATTGGAAGGTCTGGGTATGATGGGATTAACCTGACTTGAGGTTTGGGATCTATGATGCTAGAGCTACAACGGGAACCGCAAGGAATAGTATGGGTTGTGTTCTTTTTCGCAAGGCTCCTGTAGAGCACCAAGCCGCGCGGTACTTCAACCCGTGCGTGCGCACATACGTACATACATGCATACACACACACACACACACGCACATCCTCAGGTTGATATACTGCTGTAATGTTTCCCATGCTTCCCCTTACAAACCTGGTTTTTTTTTGGGGGGATAGGTCGGATTCAGACATTCAGGCTTGCCAAGACTGCGGCATTGAGAGGCCTCGTGTGATAGGAACGGAGTGGTTCCAAGCGGCCGGAATTTGTGGGTCTCGGGTATCGAGGAATCTAGGCTTTGTGCTTAAGCCACACAAGGTATCGAGGAATCTAGGCTTTGTGCTTAAGCCGCACAAAAAGCAGAAGATGGGTATCTCTCCTTTGCAGGTCCTTTTTATAAGGATGCCGTACTAGTTTGGGGACCTAAAAAGGGACCCGAACTTAGAGAGCTACCCATATGTGAACTGACTCATTGAACTTGGGTATTACGTGCAGCAACAGCATAACACCAACACCGGCCGCTGACAAAAGGGAGCTATCTGTGATACGATCATCCGTCTATGGTTGTCGGCGTTGTACTGAACCCTAAGTGTCCATGATCCTACATAGTTCATACTTTGACCCTGTTTATATATATATATATATACAAACCAAGAAGCATCGAGTCATCAAGTTTATTCTAACCTAAATCCTAAACTCTGACATATCGGCATGCCTCAGCAGGCGAACCACGCGCACGCCCCGCAGAGCCCGGATTAACTGAGCCACCGGGAGAGGTTTACTGGAGGAGCGATGGAAACGGAGTGGTCGGAAAGGCTTTTTGCTTTTTTGTTTTTCTCTCTCTCTCTCTCTCTATCTATGTCTATATCTATATCTTTCTCTATATATACTCGATATATACCCTCTGATATTGATTAATGTACAGCCTGATGTGTTCAGATATTAGAGTCTTTCTTTATGTATAAGTTGCGGGTCACTTCTTTTAGGGTTTAGAGTTTTGGGCTTAGGGTTTTAGGGTTTATAAACCCTAAACCCAAAACCCTCAACCCAGAGGGTTTAGAGGTTTAGGGGTTTGGGAGATCCTCGGTCTTTCGACACTTGCAAATACGGTTTAAGGCTTCGCTTAGGCTTTAGGGTTTAGGGTCACACACAGCGGGATGAGGAGACCTTGAAATAAGCCCCGAAGACGAAGCACGCAAGAGGCTTGCGCAGGAAGAGTATACGTAGTACCTATATACATACAGCCTGAAACTCGTGGTGGGTGCACATGCGGGTTCCGGGGTTTCAAATTTCAGGTTAACTGTTCACCACAAGATCGGCAGACATTGTAATATGATGCCTGCAAGAGCTTGGTTGAGGCTTCATAGGTCAAAAACCATCAAGGAGTTCTGCACCCGTGTCCCGAGCCAATTACCCCGAGCCGAAGTTTGGATTTGGGGCGTAGGGAATGATTGAAGGACACGCGGCCAGCTGACGGAACAAATATCGAAGCAGCAGGCATAGCCACAACATGCCGCTACACATGCACTAAACCCTGAAGCCGTAAACCCTACCTCAGCAAGTCACGCTCGTGGATGCCTCGGGCCGGTGTGTAAATGCAGTGTTCAGACAAGGACGGCAGGTGGGAAGCAGATCAACAAGCAAAACACATGTCTAGCATACGTGCTATGGGGGGCAAAGCCCAGTTGAAATGCTTGTAAGTTTCCGCACACGTAAAATATTAAAACACGCTCTCTAAGAATAAGTCCAGTCGAGGATTTCCAATCTGAAACAACCCCACAACCATCGCTCAAACCGCCTACATCTCCTTGAACCCTTAACCCCTACAAACCCCTAAACCTTTCAACCCTAAACCCTTGACCCGTACAAACCCCTAAACCCTTAAACCCAAACTCCTCGCCCCTCGGCCCGATACATGCTTGAAAACTCATGCTTAGGCGCTCGTGTGAAGCGCGCCACCCTCAGATGGCCGGCATCCATCGGTGCCTCCAGTCCGCAGTGACTCCGCTGGGAGGATTAGAAGGGTTATACACCACGGGTTCTTTAAAAGGGCTCTTCTACGTGTTATATAAGGGTTACTAGAGGAGTTACCATATGAAATTGACCCTAAACCCTAAACCCTAAACCCTAAACCCTAAACCCTAGGGGCATTAGGGTTATGCTGCCAAGGTGTAAAAAGTGGTTTATAAGGGCTTTGAGCGGCTCCAGGGTTTGGCAATGAAGCGTTTCTGGTAGTATGGGGTTTTAGGTTTAGGGTTTAGGGTTTAGGGTTGTTTAGGGTTTAGGGTTTTAGGTTTAGGGCTTAGCTTTTCGGCCTTGTTCGCGGCCTAGAATTTAGGCTTCAGGTTACAGGTCCAACATGAAGTGAACCCCTTTGCTCTCGCAGTGATTCCCCGACTAACCCGAAACTCCACGTCCCAAAGGCCAATTGAAAAGCAGATGAGTTCCGACAGGTAACTTGGATGACTTCTGAACCCCTCCTAACAGATAAACTTGTTGCCATATAGACACCCAAAAGATAAAGTCCTAAGAGCCAGCCGGAAGAACGTCAAGGGTGGCAGACCGGCTTTAAGCCCGGAAAACCAAAGAACAAGCCGGCGCGAGAATGATGACCTGCAATGTCTACTAGTGAACTACAATATCTCATAGTAGCTTCAAAATATTTGATAATACACTCTAATATCTCATAGTAAGTTATAATATCTAATAAACAACCCATAAATTTTCATGGTAACTTATCATACCCTGAACCCTAAACCCTAAACCCTAGACCCTAAACCCTAAACCCTAAACCCTAAACCCTAAACCCTACTCCGAAGCATTTCCTGCGGTCCAGGATGCTGCCGAAGTGTCGGCTTCCGCAGCCATATTCCTGAAGGGAGATCATTGGGTTCGGGTTTAGGGGTTTAGGGGTTTAGGGGTTTAGGGGTTTGGGGTTTGGGGTTTAGGGTTTAGGGTTTAGGGTTTAAGGTTTAGGGTTTAGGGTTGTGAAATCCGTGCCAAGGCCACCGTTCTTGAACATGTTCGTGTAACCTGTCAACCTCAGAAGTTCTCTCGCCACCCAGGCTCGAAGGGTCTTCAGGGCGGGAGGGCTAAAGGTGCTGCGTGGACGCAGCGCATGGTCCCTCGAGCTGAGCTGTGAGACTGGCAGGAAAACTCGTCTGCAGGGCATCCGGGTTTAACATTGGAACTTCAATTGGTCGACGGGGTCGAGCCACTTCTTCAATCAGTGATTGCGAGATTTCATCTTTCCAACTCTTCATCTTGGCAGGGCCAAGGAAGCTACCAGGGTGAACTCTTTTGAGTTCACACTGGTAGCGGAGCTTGGAGCTTCGCTTGGTGGCGCAAAAGCCGTAGACCAGGGAACCTTTGGTTGTTGAGAACATGGCGGAGGCAGCTGCTTCCTCCACCCCGGAGGCAGGCTACCAGTTACCATGGAATGCCATCCCGAAGTTTATTCCTGGGACTACAGATGTTACTGAGTACAGCAAGAAGCTTCAGTTTTTGGCGGCCATGTGGCCGAAGGAGAGCATTTCATTGTTGGCCCCCAGAGCTGCTTTGTTATGCGAGGGAAGCGCTTTCAAGAAAGTGTCAGGGCTACCAGCTGACAAGTTGAAATCTTCCGATGATAGTGGGGTCAAGCTTTTGGTGTCAACATTGGGCGGATCTTGGGGCCGCACAGATGTTGAGGTAAAGTATGATACTTTTGAAAGAGCCATTTTTGGCACGGTTCAGAAGTCAGACGAGACCAACGACAGCTACCTGGCTAGGCATGACATCCACTTTGAGGAGCTACTCGCCTTAGGGGTGACACTACAGGAGGTACGAGCCCACATCCTGCTTCGCCAATCCTCCCTTTCATCAGAGGACAGGAAGAAGATCGTCGTGGAGATGGGAGGTGCCCTTGACTTCAAGAAGGTTTGTGCATCGATCAGGTTGTTGGGGTCCCGGTTCTTTGCAGTTGCAAGGCCAGAAGGGAACTTACAAAACCAAGACGTACGATGCTCATGTTGTTGAAGAGGCAGGGCCTGAGGAGACAGAGCGAGCCTATCAGGCTACGGCTTCCCCTCCTCCAGTCACCGAGGAGCTCGAAGGAGACCTGGATGCCGAGTACGTCGAGGCAATGATTGCAGCCGAAGATCAAGATGCTCTTCATATCCAGGCCTTTGAGGAGGAGCTAGAGGGATTCTTTCAGGAGACTCCGGAGCTCCAGGAGGCCTTGGTGAGCTATATGGAGGCGAGATCCCGGCTACTGGCCAAACGAAAAGCCCGGGGCTTTTGGCCGATTGCATCCAGCCAGAAAGGCGGCAAAGGAGGTAAGGGATTTAAGGGAAAGGGCAAGGGAAAGAATGCGCGTGAGCAGCTGTTGATGAGGATATCGAGAAGCAATTGCAGACTGTGCGGTGAGCGAGGTCACTGGAAGGCTGAGTGTCCAAAAGCTTTTCGTGCCGGGGCCACGAACGAGGCCACAACGACAGTGGCCGAGGTGACAGGCTCATCCACAGGTGAGCATTTGGACGATGA